GTACTGACCTTGAAGGGACGTTGGTTTGATGCTGAGCTGGAGGAGTTGGATCATAGTAACCAGGTGGAGGAGGTAAGGACCAAGAAGAGGCGGAGGCCGGTGGCTCTTCGGCGTGGGTGGGGTCTCATGAGGAGGAGGACTGGGCTGCTAGGCGTCTTGGACGAGGACGGGACCCCGTGTGCCTCCCCAGAAGCGGCGCTTGCGGCTCTGGTGGCCCATTGGAGTACGGTCTTTGCCCAGGCTGATCACGATCCGACTCATTGGCAAGAAACTTTGGCCCATGTTCAGACTACCGACGGTCATAATCCTGCCCCTCGATGGAAACTTGACGTTGACGAATTTCGGGGCCGTGTCGGTCGTAAGTTTCATTCTGCCCCTGGTCCTCATGGGATCCCGTATGGACGCTGGAAGGTCCCTGAGGCGACCGCTGCCTTTTTCGAGGTTTACGAGGAGTTTTTCAACAGTGCAGGGGATGCACTACCCCCTGATTGTCGAGTTAGTCGCGTGGTCTTCCTCCCGAAGGGCAGCGACCCACGTGATCGCAGTGACTTTGTCTCACGTGCACCTGCCTCCACCCGCCCGCTCTCCCTCTCGAACACGGATGCGAAGATCCTCTCCGATGCTTTCTGTCTCGGACTCAACGACGTCGCTCCTGCGACGGTGGACCCCCCCCCAGCGAGGTGGGGTTCGAGGGCGTAACATTCCGGGCAATGTTGTCGAGGTGGAAAATGGGGCCGTCTTCAACACATGTGTGGGAGGGATAAAGCGGGGGTCTTATTCACCGATTTCAAGGCGGCGATCCCTTCGATCCTGGTGGAGTGGATTTTTGCAGTTTTGGTGGCCATGGGGGCCCCCAGCGAGACGGTGGGCTTCTTCAGAGCCCTGTATGCCAACAACGCGGCCCTCGTCTGTTTTGAGGGCGCTGCGGAAACGGTTTTCTCTGTGGAACGAGGTGCACGGCAGGGTGATCATGCGTCCATGACCCTCTTTGCTCTGGCCCTTGATCCTGTACTGCGCTGGATCCGTGCCCGCCGTGTCGATCGTGTGGGTGTCCAATTGGCGTATGCGGATGACTGTTGTTTTGGACTACGTGACATTCTCATCGATCTCATGCCCACCCTGCTGCTTCTCGACTTGCTCTCGTCCGCGATTGGTCTCTCCTTGAATGTGGGGAAATGCTACGTCCTGATCTGCGGGACGCTGGGTGGAGATGCCCTCGCTGCCCACATGGCTCGGAAGGGCAGCCGTTTTGCCTCTGTCCGTTTCGCCACCAGAGTTTTGTATTTCGGATTCTGGATGCCCGTCGGCCCATGAGGTGGCCTGGGTGGAAACGATGAATAAGTTCTGGCAGCGAGTTCGTCTTCTTCGCTCTCTCTCGCTGGGCTTGGCGACCACCATCCGTCTGTTCCACCCTAATTGCCTCTCCGTCCTGCAGCATCGGATTCAGCTGGTGCGGGTCACCCCTTCGGTTCGGCGTCAGTATAGGGAAGCTTTGCAGATCCCTACCGCGGGGCCTCGGCATGCGTTGGATTACAGTATGCTCACTCAGTTACGTGACCTGGGGATTTCCCTTGAGTTCGTGGACCTGGGGCTGCATGATAAAGCTACGAAGTTTCGGGTGGTGATGCGGTGCAAGGCGTTGGATGGCGCTCTATATGAGTTAGAGGGCTTAGCGGGTGGCCTGACCGATGATGAGTGCATCCCTGCTCGGATGTTTTCTGGATGGTGGTGCCATTCTATGATACGCACGACGAATGAGGATGCGGTGGACCTTGCGACTTCCCCCCTTGATCGAACAGCCCGTTCTATCCAGGCCAAGGTCCATCGTCACTTACGTTCGGTCCGTATGACTGCCGCTCCCTTACTGTGTCAGGGTGTGCGGCTATCGCGGTGGTTAGTTGCAGCCTCCCTCGAGGACCTGTTCCGTCTGCGGACTAGATTGCGCGCCGTGGGGCGTGCCACGTGCACTCATTTCGCTACCAACGTTATCCGCGAACTGTCCAGGGGCGCGTGTACTTCGGCACGTTTTCATGCGAATGACCGTGGATGCTGCTTTGGTTGTGCGGCCCCTGATGACCTACTCCACTACAAAATCTGCGATTGTTTCCGTGACCTTGCCCGGCACCGTCTCCCCGGGTTGGAAGCCTTACCCACGCCGTGGAGGGAGATGTGGCAGCACCGCGATACATGGATGACATGTCTCTGTCTGATGAGGCCTTCTTGGGGGCTCGACCGCGACGTTGCCTGTGCTGCCTTCCTCGATGCCTTCCTGAAGACTCATGCTCACCATCGGCGCCAGACTCAGGTCCCCTCGTCCCAGGTCTTCGTTGCTCGATTGCGTCTTCTAGCTCGTCGGTATACTGGTGTCGCACGCCAGTTCAGGGCACGGCGTATGGCGCGGGCTGCCACGTGAAGTGATGTCGTCTGAGTGTGACCGCTCCCTTCCATCTCTCGCGCGTTTGTTCTAGTGCTTCTCTGTGTGCTCCCTCTGCCTTTCCTGCCGCTTGCTGTCTTCCTTCTCCTTCCTGCCTCTGCTGGTGCTTCTCCCCTGCGGGGTGGGCTTTGTTGGGTCCTCGGTTTTCTCCATCATCACCCCAGAATCATCGACCTCATCATCGCTATCATCGTCAGCATGATCGACGGCACACCCCTCACACGCTTCGTGGCCCCATAGGGAGCTCCAATGCGTCCCAGCCACCCATGTCGGCACACACATCACACGCTGCGTGGCCCCATGGGGAGGTCCACCGAAGGCCCCAGTGGCGCAGCCCGCATGCATTTCAGCCAAGCATGTCGGCACGCCCCTCACACGCTCCGTGCCCCTATAGGCAGCTGCACCGAAGGCCCCAGTGGAGCAGCCCGCATGCGCCCCAGCCAACCATGTCGGCACACCCCTCACACTCTTCGTGACCCCATTGGAAGCTCCACCGAAGGCCCCAGCGGCGCAGCCCGCATGCACTTCAGCCAATCATGTCGGCACACCCCTCACACTCGTCGTGACCCCATAGGGAGCTCCACCGAAGGCCCCCGTGGCGCAGCCCGCATGCGTCCCAGCCACCAATTTCGGGACACCCCTCACACGCTTCGTGGTCCCATTGGGAGCTCCACCAAAGGCCCCAGTGGCGCAGTCCGCATGCGTCTCAGCCGCCCATTTCGGGACACCCCTCACACGCTTCGTGGTCCCATTGGGAGCTCCACCGGAAAGCCCAGGGGCGCAGCCCGCATGCGTCCGCACACTCCTCACACACTTCGTGGCCACACAGGGAGCTCCACCGAAGGCCCTGGTGGCACAGCTCGCATGCGTCCCACCCGCCTATTTCGGAACACGCCTCACACGCTTCTTTGCCCCATAAGGAGATCCACCGAAGGTCCCAGTGGCGCAGACTGCATGCGCACCAGCCTCCCATTTCGGCACACCACTCACACGTTTCGTGGCCCCATAGGGAGCTCCATCAAGGGCCCCAGTGGCGCAGCCCGCATGCGTCCTCGCAAGCTATGTCGGCACACGCCCCTCACACGCTTCGTGGCCCCATAGGGAATTGCACCCTCGTTGGCAGCGCCCGCATGGCGGCCCCGCCCCAATTTCGGCACACCCTTCACGCGCTTCGTAGCCCCAGAAGAAGATCCACCGAAGGCGACACTGCTAACGACGGCATTCACAATTGCATATCGCTAGGTTCTTCGCAAGGCTAATTTTTCTTCTATCCTCGTGCTCGTGTTGAAAGCAGCGTCGGCCGATGACCCGATGTCTGTCCAGGCCCTCCCTACGGCAGGGCCTGTGCAACTCAGCTTCTGAAGCCGAAAAGGGGGGTCCCAGGAGGCGAGGGATACTGACGGAAGGGGAGGGTCCGAGAGAACAAACAGCAGAAGGACCCTCCTTCTCCTCCTCTTTCTCCTCCTCCTTCCCGATCGAGCGAGCGAGGATAGGGCTTCGAGGTTCGAGGAGGAGCAGTTCCTACATGTTTGGTCCCAGGAGGCCAGCTTCGGGCCCCAGGAAGACCAAGCAGCCACCAGGGACGGAGGAGCGCCCGTGGATGGGCCCCATGGCAGCGGGGGTCCGGGGCACCGTTCCTGAACGGCTCCTCCCTCCCCCTCCCCAGGCCCTCCTGAGGAGGAGGAGGAGGAGGAGGAGGACAAGGAGAAGGAGAAGGAGAAGGAGAAGGAGGGGGAGGGGGAGGAGGAGGAGGAGGAGGAGGAGGAGGAGGAGGAGGAGGAGGAGGAGGAGGAGGAGGCCAACACCTCTCCCAGAGACCCCACGCTGCAGCCGGGTCTGAGGTGTTTCTGGCGGCCGCTTCCGGCCTGCGGAGAGGCCGTTCGCGGCCTCCGCCGCAGTCGTCGTCGCCGCCGTCGCCCCCCTCCACCGAGCGCGCGCGTCACCACTCGCAGAGTGCCCACTCGCAAACGTCCTCAGAAAACACATGCCCGCTTTGATGATGTAATCTATCGTGGATCCTCCGCGGGAGATCCAGGCCATTTGCGAGCAGTTCCTGTGCGAGTAGTGGAACGCGCAAGGTCCACCTCCCACCGAACACCGTCCCAAGGACGGTGCATGCGCCTCCCCGGCCAGGCCGCGGTGGCGTATGCACCGGCACGGGGGATCAGGGAGGAGGTGGAGGAGGAGGAGGAGGATGAGGAGGAGGAGGGGGGAGGAGGAGAAGGAGAGGAGAAGGAGAAGGAGGAGGAGGAGGAGGAGGAGGAGGAGGAGGAGGGGGAGGAGGAGGAGGAGGAGGAGGAGGAGGAGGAGGAGGAGGAGGAGGAGGAGGAGGAGGAGGGGAGGAGGAGGAGGAGGAGAGGAGGGAGGCGGGATGAGGAGGAGGAGGAGGAGGAGGAGGAGGAGGAGGAAGAGGAGGAGGAGGAGGAGGAGGAGGAGGAGGAGGAGGAGGAGGAGGAGGAGGAGGAGGAGGAGGAGGAGGAGGAGGAGGAGGAGGAGGAGGAGGGGGGGGCAGGGGGGAGGGAGGAGCCCCCTGGCGGGGGGGGAGGAGGGCGAGGCTGGCCCCTGCATGGTGCAACTGGAGCTGGTGTGCGCCCGGCTGGCCGCGGAGCTGCCCGCGGCATGCGCCGCGGCGGGCGTGCGCACGCTGCACCTGGAGGCGCGTGGCTCCCCGCGGCGACGAGGGCGACGAGGACGACGCCGAGGACGAGGACGACGACCAGGAGGAGGAGGAGGACGACGACGACGAGGAGGAGGAGGAGGAGGAGGACGACGACGACAAGAACGACGAGGGCGACGGGGACGACGAGGACAACGACGAGGACAAGGACGACGACGAGGAGGAGGAGGAGGAGAAGGACGACGACGAGAACGACGAGGGCGACGGGGGCGACGGGGACGACGAGGCCGACGAGGCCGTCGCGGATATCGATGACGTCGAAGAGCACGAGGACGTCGAGGGCGACCAGGATCCAGGACCGAGGACGTCGAGAACGAAGATCGATTATCGTGGCTCTTCTTAAATCTTCCCACGGCGTTTCTCTCTCTACCGTTTTTTTGACTCGGCGCGTTGGAAAGCATTGTTTTGGCGCTTTCCGGTTCCAACACAGAAAACTAACAACGCAAAACAAACATGTGTTGCGTTTTCAGCCACGTTTTTGTTCTGCGTCTTCAGATCAGGTGGTTGCATTGTTTGACGTTGCCATCTACGACGTCCTCAGTTCCTTCTCCTGGCGTGCAGTCCTTCTCCTGGCGTGCAGTCTGGCAGGCCCGTGGGCCGATGGCCCCTCCTGTGGCCATCGGGCCTCCGGGCCTGTCCCGGGCCGGTGTTCGACTGGTGTTGGAGCGTTTTTGTTGGCGTGCTTAGCTCTGACAGGGAGAACAGCGGCAGAAACGGAAAAACGGGAGCGAAGGCAACAGTGAGGACAAGGAACAGGGTCGACCAGAAGGCAAGAAAGATAAGATTTGCTTGGCGAAGGACCCAATCATATGCAGCCATGAGTAAGGCAGTTGTGAGCATCGTCTTCGGTGGAGCTCCCTATGGGGCCACGAAGCGTGTGAGGGGTGTGCCGAAGCGGGTGGTGGGGGCGCATGTGGGCACCGCCACTGGGGCCATCGGTGGAGCTCCATATGGGGCCACCAATCGTGTGAGACGTGTGCCCTGAAATATGTCGCGGGGACGCTTGTGGACTGCGCCACTGGGGCCTTCGGTGGCGCTCCCTACGGGGTCACGAAACTCGTGAGGGTTGTACCGAAAAGGGTGGTGGGGACAAATGTGGGCACCGCCACTGGAACCTTCGGTCGAGCTTCCTATAGGGCCACGGAACTTCTCCACGAAACGTGTGAGGGGTGTGCCGAAATGGGTGGCGGGGACGCATGCGGTCTAAGCCATGGGGGTCCTCAGTTGAGCTCCTATGGGGGTCGCGAAACATGTGAGGGGTGTGCCAAATGAAACGGGTGACGAGAGGGGGAGGAGGAGGAGAGAAGGAGCAGGAAGGAAGGAAGGAACGCGGGGCGCTGTCTCTGCAAAACGAGGACCCAAAACCAAAGGATGGCTTTGGGAAAACATAGTCACAGCGACAGGCCTAAAGACGCTTAACCAATTGGAGCTCTCAACGCTAAAACACCGTCGCGTGTGTTTAGCGTGTTTGTCTTGTCGAAATCCCAAACATTCAAAACGGCCAGGGTGCCGCTACGAAGAACCAAGTCGACTACCGAGGCCGATGAGAAAGACGATGACTCGAAGAGAACAAGTAAGTGAACATAAACTGTCAGAGCTCCGCGCAGACTTCTTGGAGAATGAGGAGGAGCGTTCGGAGGGGGAGGAGGAGGGGGGGGAAGGAGGAGGAGGAGGAGGAGGAGGAGACGGGCGTAGTCCTTCCCTCCCTCCCTCCATCCTACTTGACGCACGTGTGCGCGACCTGTTCTGGTCTTGAGGAGAAAGACAAGAGCAACCTGACGCATGCATTTCTCTTGAGAAGTATTGCTTGTGAGCGTAAGAAAGTATTGCGTGTCGTGGTATGGGAAAGGTATTTTCGCGCGCTTTTGAAAGCAGCAGTGGCTTCCAAGGGTGACGCAGCGAGATGGGTGATGTCCTTTGGCGAGCATCGCCAAGATCAATTTCGCATGCTGGCGCTCCAAGGAAAAAAACTGGTGTTTGAAAGTCCGCGGAGAAAAACGGAGCATGGAGATCTGGTGAAGTGCTGTTCGACCCCGAGACGCAGTGCTCTCTCGCTGTGGCACCGGGAGGGGCATGACCAAAAGTCTCCCGCTGAGCGGGTTCCCGTCACGAGGCCTCCCGCTGAGGGGGCCGAAAGGTCCTACGTAGTCCCTCGGAGAGGTGCCGAAGACCGCTGACGGCGCGCGCAGGAGACAGCAGGGCGAGTTGGCCCTCCCCTCTGCCCTGCTGCCGCCCGCGCGTCGCCAGCGGTCAGCGGTCAGCGGGGCTCGGCCGATCCGCGCGCCAGCTCTGCGCAGATGGGGCCCCTGGCCTCGACGTCGCCCCGGCGCCCGAGCTCGGGGCTCCCTGCCGAGCTGCTCCGGGCCTCAGCACGCGCAGGCCACACGGGTCCGCCACGGAGCGCCGGTACTCCCTGCACGGCTCGGCGCACGCCGTGTCGGCCAGGGGCAGCGGAGGCCCCACGCACGGGCCACGAGCGTCTCGGTCGCCGTCTGGGCACTCGAGGTCGTGGCGTCTTTGTCACCGTCCTTCAGGGGCGAAAGAAGGACGCACGCGTACATGAATCCACGTCGGTTTCGACAGTACGCATTACGCGAACGTTCGCATCACGAGGCTAGTCTCGCGGACTTGGGGGCCGTAGTCGTGTACGTGGTTGGGCGCGTACGTCTTTCGTGGGCTCCCCAGTCCTGGGACGCAAACCCGAGCCCGTGGATGAGCCCCCCCCATTCGCCGCAGCCGTTGCCTCCGTTCCTGCGCAGAGCTCCGCCGAAGCGTGCCTCGCGCCCACCTGGGACGCTCCTCCTCCTCCTCCTCCTCCTCCTCCTCCTCCTCCTCCTCCTCCTCCTCCTCCTCCTCCTCCTCCTGAGGCCCAGGACCCCACCCCCGCGGGCCCCGGCGCTCAGCGCCTGGAGGGCGCGTATGGGAAGGCGAGCAGGTTGCATGGCATGGGGGGCCAACCCGTCTCAAGTGCTGCAGGAAGACGCAGCGGTGTTCGTCTGCGGTGCTGCTCGCGGCCTCGGTCTGGATGAACACATGCGGACGGTCCGCGCCCCGCGTGCACTCGCCGGTCTGCCGCTCCAGCATGTCATGGCACGCGCGAAAACATGCGAACGCTGGTCTTGTGGGGCTCAGAGCTCGCCAGCCTCCGTCGACACCGTTGCCTTGGGCAGACGCCAAGCGGGTCGTGCACGCGTGCGCTCGGAGTCCTTCTCCTCCTCCTCCTCCTCCTCCTCGTCCTCCTCCTCCCACCTTCTTCCAGCTTGTTCCACCTCTTCCTCTTCTTCCTCCTCTTCCTCCAGCCATGCCTTCACTTTACAAGTAGCTCGACCCCCTGACGCACCCCCCGACGTGTTGAAAGGGTGGGCGAGGCGCTTCGCCTGAGAGCCCCCCACCACTTACGACCCTGGAGCTTAAATTCTGCAACAGCTCAAGGCTTGTCGCACACATGATGGTCGCTTTAGCGCCACGCACAATCGTCGTGAACGTTTGCAGCAGTTCAAGGATGGTTGGTGCCTCATTTTCAAGACGTGAAAACGTGGTACTCGCCGCATCGCCGCGCACATGTGTTTTCAAAATTCGGGCAACAATCAAGGAATGGGTATCGTTTGCAAACTGCGGCTCGTTCTAGCGTTGCGTACATTCGTTTTGAAAGTTTGCAGCAGGTTCAAAGATGGAGAGGGGGACCGTTCAAACTGGGGCTCTCGCCGTAGCTCCCGCGCGCGCATTTGCTCAACAAGTCTGCAACAGCTTCAAGGATTGCGGGGGGCAGTCTTCAAAATGTGGTTCTCTCCGTAGTTCCGCGCACATTCAGATCAAATGTTTGCAACGGTACCAGACATGGAATTGGGGGTCGTTCTGGAAATTGTGTTCTCGCTTGAGCGCCGCGTACCTTCGTGTCAGCATGTCGCAATAGTTTCATTGATGGAGGGCGGTTCCTTTTCAAAGCGGGGTTCTCGCCTTTAGCGCCGCTCACAGTCGCTTCACTATCTCGCCGCAGCTTCCATGACTGAGCACTGGTCGTTTTGAAACTGTGTCATCGCCCCAGCGCGCGCATCCGTTCTCCAACCACACCTTTGGGAAGGATGGAGGACAGTGGATTCATGCACTCAGCATCGATGCGTGTGTACCCGAAGCGTCGCTGTGTTCAGAGCTGCGCGGGTCCAGGGCGGCCCTTTCTCAACATGGAGTTGGCGCTCGAGATCCCCCGCACGCATGCGCGCAACTGTGAGTGTGTGCAACCTTGTGCTACAGCTCAGCGGATGTGGAGCGCGGCCCTTCCTCGACAGGGGGATCTTTCATTGTATGATCATGGTGTTTCGCCTTCCTGATTGCGCGTCGGAAGGGCACAAGGCAATTCCAGACGCTTCGCATAACCCCGCCAGCCCATCCAGAAACCATGCCCAGGCGTCTTGCCCTGATCAGGTATGTGGAGGAGCATGCAGTGAAATAAAGGGTTTGGAGCGCCGTCATACCCCAAGAGGGGGGGATGGAGGAGGAATCGGAGCAGGAGGAGAAGGAGGAGGGGGAGGGAGAGGGAGAGGAGGGAGGAGGGAGGAGGAAGGAAGGAAGAGGGAGGAGGAGGAATAGGTGGACGAGAAAAGGAGGAGGAGAAGGAGGAGGACGGCGAGCAGAAAAGCCAGATGCCTCGTGGATGCCTCTCGGAGTTGGATGTCCCTTGAGAGCTCATTGGGGCCCCATCGTAGCGTTGGGGGGTCCTCTTGGCGGTCCGGGGGGGACTCTTGGAGCGCCTTGGATGCCTCGGGGGAGCCTCTTGGGGGTCTCCTGGGAGCCTTTGGGGGACCTCGTGGGGGCCTCTCGGGACCTCCTGGGCGCCTCATGTAGCCCCCTTGGAGCACTCTTGGGAGCCGTGGGGGCCACCTTGAAGAACTTCGACCGCAAAAGGGAGAGTCCTCAATTAGCGCCGCGCCCCCAGGAGGCCAAAATGGGCTCAAAAATCAAACACTTGTGCCCTCTAGCCG